GGGTGACACGGTGGGGACAGCCAGGAGAGCGTGTCGGTGCGGCTGACAGGAGGGGGACAGCATCAGTGAGGGTGACAAAGAAGGGCGGGAGCAGCAGCAAGGCCACAGCGGGTGACGGAGGGGGTCTCTGACCCCGGGTGCTCCCGGGGGGGTGACAGCAGCCACCGGCAGGGCACGGGCAGGTGACAGGCGCCTGTCGGAGGCCCGGCAGCCGCTCGGCTGGCAGCCCCGGGTTCCCCAGGGCTCCGGCAGCTCTGGGTGGGCTGGGGGTGACGGCGGGGCGCAGGCAGGTCCCAGGGGGTGGCTGTCCCCACCGTCACCCCCTGCGGCTGTTGTCGCAGCTGGGTCTTCCTCCACGAGAAAGCCTACCAGGTGCGGGACACTGTCATCGAGTCCTCGGTGGTGACCAAGGTCAAGGGCATCGGGCGCTATGCCGGCCGGGTGCTGGATACGGCCGACTACGTCACCCCCCACCAGGTGAGGGGGCGCCGGGCCCCTCCCCTGCCTCAGTTTTCCCTCTCGGATGGAGCAGAGGGCTGTCAGGGTGACGGGCAGGGCGACGGTGACATCCCCCCCCCAGGGCACCTCGGTGTTCGTGGTGGTCACCAAGCAGATCCAGACGGAGAACCAGTCACAGGGCGTCTGCCCGGAGGTACGGACGGGGCTGGGGGTCAGCGGGCAGGGGGGGACATCGGGGGGTGTGTCCCCCTGCAACCCCGCCCAGGCTCACCAACCCACCCCCACAGAGCGAAGTCGAGTACCGCTGCACAGCCGACCGCGACTGCCAGGGGAAGAGCCCCACCACGGGCAGCGGTGAGGGGGACCCCCGCCCCGGGGGTGGGGGGCTGGGGGGGCTGAGGCCTGCCCGCTCGCCACACTGATGGGGGCTCCGGCAGGGGTGCTGACGGGGCGCTGCGTCCCCTACAACGGGACCCTGCGCACCTGCGAGATCCAGGGCTGGTGCCCGCCGGAGGTGGACACCATCGATGTGTGAGTGTGACCGGGGAGGGGGCATGGGGGGGGGCTGGGGTCTGTGCCCCCGCACCCCAGGAATACCCCCTTCTCCCCCCCAGACCCATCATGCTGGAGGCCGAAAACTTCACCCTCTTCATCAAGAACAGCATCCGCTTCCCGCTCTTCGGCTTTGAGAAGTGAGCGGCACCGGGGACGCGGGGACAGGCGGGGGAGCCGCGTCCCCCCCCCTCCCGGCTGGCTGATGGCCGTGTCCCCCCCCGTGTCCCCCTAGGGCCAACCTGCCGCCCCCCGGCAGCAGGGGGGAGCTGGGGCGCTGCCGGTTCCACCCCGAGCAGCAGCCCCTCTGCCCCATCCTGCGGCTGGGGGACGTGGTGCGCCTCGCCGGGCAGGACTTCCCCACGCTGGCCGCCACCGTGAGCCGTGGGGCACGGGGACAGAGGGGGTGGGGTGTGGGA